AGGCAGTCCCCGAGCTCTGCTCCGCACGGCGGCAGCGCGGGCAGTTGCTGTCCGAGGGGTCCCTGGGCACGGTGTGTGTCGGCACCTCTCAGAAGAATTCTGAGCCGGTGTTTCCGACTGATTTTAACAATATAATGAAGGAGCAATTATATGTCATTTTGCTGGTGTATCTCTGGGAAAGATAGCAGGTAGAGGGGTGGACTTTAACCTTGTACAGTCAGAGCAGTATAGAATCATAGAATAGTTTGGGTTGGAAGGGACCTTCAAAGCTCATCTAGTTCAACCCCCTGCAATGAGCAGGGACATCTTCAACTAGATCAGGGGTAAATCAAATAAAACAGGGCAGGCCAGGTACCAAGACTTAAATACACATGTGTTGGTTTAACTGTCTTTGGAAGCATTTTACTGCAAGTTGATTTGCATCCCAAGATCTATATTGATTTTGGTGTTATTACACTTTGTGTGTTGAAATCAGTAATTTATGACATACATGAATATGCCCAATCCTTGAAAATCATCTGTTTGTAACTCGCCATTAGCTACTCAGCTTTACAGTCGTATTTCTGTGTATCTTGTGTTTTAAAGGATAACCATGGTCAGTCAAGTGTGTTACTGTATTATTTATTGCAGGTATGTGGGCACATTCAATGACAGTTCAAGATTACCAGGATCTCATAGACAGAGGATGGCGAAGGTAAATTTAAACCCAGAAGACAAAGCCCTGTTGTCAGGTTAGATAGAATTTAGAATCCAGCTTTAAAACTTAGGTCTGTTAAACAAGGAAACTAGTTTCTATTAGTAATTGCAGTAGAACTGTCTCTCCAGTGCTCTTTGACTTTTTCTAACATTGAGACAGTTGAACAGGAAAACATGCAGTTATGGAACCATAGAATCCCAGACTGGTTTGGGTTGGAAAGGACCTGAAAGCTCCTCCAGCTCCAACCCCTGCCCCGGGCAGGGACACCTTCCACTAGAGCAGGTTGCTCCAAGCCCCTGTGTCCAACCTGGCCTTGAACACTGCCAGGGATGGGGCAGCCACAGCTTCTCTGGGCACCCTGTGCCAGCGCCTCAGCACCCTCACAGGGAAGAGCTTCTGCCTCCGCGCTAATATTTTAGAAGGATAGTATTTTAGTGTAGCAGCAAAAAGCCAAGGAACTTGCTTCTTGGTTTCTGTTACTCATCATGTAATATATTATTTTAACAAAAAAGGTTGGTCTTACATTTATTCTGTAGTATAAGCAACAACAAATCAATGTATATGTATTATTATTTTTAGAAGTGGAAAATATGTGTACAAACCCATCATGAATCAGACGTGTTGCCCTCAATACACAATAAGGTAAGAAGCTCAAAATCTACTACTGTGATTTGACTGCTTCAAATATGTTCAACTATTTGTGTTTACTGCTTTAAATACGTAATACTTGGCGAGTTTATCTACTTTTAATGATACTGTGAAGACAAAATAAGTGCTGTTGGGTTTGTGCATAGGCACATCAGTGGCTCTCTGATGGTTCCCTATAAGCAGCCTGCTAAGTGTACCCGTTTGCCTTTTGCTTCTGGGTTGCAGTCCTGTGATTACTCTCTTGCTTGCTGGATGCAGGTGAATTATAATGCCTGTATCCCACAAACACTGTGTTAGTAACCCAGGTGAGAGAGGCTGTCAGTTAAACAGGGTATGACTAGTTCTAGATATGCTTCTCCTGTGTTGGTGGTTAGTACCAATGCTGTATCTATAAAATGGGTAAGTGAAAAAAATCTAGTGTATTGGCTTCCTAGGAAAACTTTTCTTATGCAGTGCTTCAGGTCATCTTGGCATATTTTAGTGATTATTGTGATAGACACACAAAACATGGCATAAAGAATATATTGCCTTGTACTGCATAATATCAATTTTATTAACTCAAAAGTGGTGATAAAATATTTGACCACTTAATATAATGAAAGTTAAGAAATAGAAAACACATATATAGTGTCATTTTTTACAGTGGTTCCTGAACCTATTATTTTTCTGAAATAATCTTTCACAAAAGGAATGGTGGTAATCTTTTCTTTTTAAGGTGCCAGGCTTTGCATTTTCAGACCTCCAAATCTCACAAGAAAGTTCTGAAGAAAATGCTCAAATTTCTTTCCAAAGGAGATGTTTCGAAAGTAGTGAGTGAAGGTAAGAAAGTCTGTGTGTTGGAAAACCAATACTGATGTGTGAAAGGAGGATCAAGTACCTGCTTGAGTGATCAAATGGCTGATATGCCTTGATCCAAGGGCTGGAGCAGCTCTGCTCTGGAGCCAGGCTGAGAGAGCTGGGCTGGGGCAGCTGGAGAAGAGAAGGCTCCTGAAGGGGACACCTTAGAGCAGCTCCAGTGCCTAAAGGGGCTCCAGGAGACCTGGAGAGGGGCTTTGGACAAGGGATGGAGGGACAGGACAAGGGCAATGGCTTGAACCTGCCAGAGGGGAGATTGAGATGAGCTCTGAGGCAGAAGCTCTTCCCTGTGAGGGTGCTGAGGCGCTGGCACAGGGTGCCCAGAGAAGCTGTGGCTGCCCCATCCCTGGCAGTGTTCAAGGCCAGGTTGGACACAGGGGCTTGGAGCAACCTGCTCTAGTGGAAGGTGTCCCTGCCCGTGGCAGGGGGTTGGAGCTGGATGAGCTTTAATGTCCCTTCCAACCCAAACCATTACAGGATTCCAAGATTTTTTGATATACATCCCTACATAAAGGCCTGGGTAGGTTGTGTGTATAGTGTTTTGAATCAAGAGCCCACAGACCAAACTGTGCAGCTGACTAGCTCTGTTCAAGTATGTGTTTTCTTACTTTTTGCATAGACCATCTTATTTTCTTTTCCATCTCTGGGCATGTGCTTATTTTCTGTCTGGGTGCTGTAGAGAGTTAGACCCTGCTTTTACCTGCATCACAAAAGTGGTAATCTGGGGAGGACTATGCAGGACAGGGGGTGGCAGAGAAAAGGAAGAGCAAGCAGGGAAAGGGGGGTTTTTCTTTCAGGTGATTCAACAGTCCCACTCCATTTATCCAACACCAACTAGTATTAATGGTGTAAAGTGTGAGCTGTGGTCATACAGAGAGAAATTCGCTCATGCAGTTGTTAATTACTTACAGAAGAGCCTATGGATTCCCATATAGACAATGTGGTCGCCTGCGATTTTGCCTACAAAGGTGAATCTCACATCAGTCAGTCTGAACTGACTCCCCTGAGCGTGGATCACACTGAGAGGGTGGAGAATGAAGATGAGGACCCAGGAGAAAAGAAAGAAGAGGGGAATGTGCAGAAGGTGGAATTGGATTCTCTACAGCTTTGTGCAGATAAAGAGACACCAGTCCCTGGAGAACCTTCGCATTCGGCTAAAGTTGCTCACGCACCACCTAAGCCAGGTAGTAACTGGAATACACTGTCATGATTTCACATGTTGTTGAAGTCCTTGGTTTAACCTTGCCTAGTACATCAATAATAATTTCTTTCTATTTCCAATACTCTTCCCAGTTTATGGAATTTTATGATATAAATTGAGAGGTGCTGCATAGTACTTTTCTTAGTTTTTCCTGAAATTTGCATTGATTTTCATTATATTTATGTATGTATTTATTGGGAATAGGTATCTGTAGCTGATAGTTTTCTGTAAGGTGATGGAAGCTCGTCAGATGTTGGGACCCGTTTCTGGTTTGGGATACTTTTGTGTGCAGAATAAGATGTACATTCAGCTTCCCCTTTCCACTATAGGATGTGGTGGCTCAGGCTTTGTGTACCTTAAGGAATGGTTCATAGAATCATAAAACATCTCAGATTGAAAGAGACCCATAAGGATCATCAAGTCCAACTCTCTGAGTTGGATTCCATGGCTTTGCAAGACTAAGAGCTGGATACAGCTTTGGCTTCAGGAGTGCTAGTTACTCAGCTAGGTTAAGGCTTAACCTTGCCGCTTTACAGCAGTGGGAAACCAGTTTAAGACTCAAGACATAACACCTTAGGTGTTGTTTTTCTATTTCTTCATTTCTGCAGGTTGTCTTCTTCTAGTAGAGTTTGTGTTGTTTACACCCTGTGAAGAACTTGTTTAAGACTATATTTTTTTATGCTCTCACAGACTATTTGCCACAGATCTAACTGGCATTGGAAACACATTCAGTATATTTGGTGTGTAGTTATTTTGGAGGATTAAAGAAAATTGTATAGCTTTCTGCTGATTAGAAAAAAAAAAGAAGTACAGATACTTCTGGTCCTCCATAAAGAATGACATTTTCTAGGTGAGCTTTTTAATCCATTTAGGAGCTTTCCTTGTTTTATATTTTGGCTGACTTTAGACTAGAAAAGCAGTACCACTGGAGGACGTGAGCATCCCGGAGGAGAAGGACTTGGGGGTGTTGGTCAATGAAAAGCTCCCCATGACCCAGGTTAGGTGTGTGCTTGAGCCCAGAACCCACCCTGTGCTGGGCTGCACCCCCAGAGTGTGAGCAGCAGGTCAAGGGAGGGGATTCTCACCCTCTGCTGTGCTCTGGGGAGCCCCCCCTGCAGCCCTGATCCAGCTCTGGGGAACAGCACAAGAGGGATGTGGAGCTGCTGGAGTGAGGCCAGAGGAGGCCCCGGAGCTGCTGCGAGGGCTGGAGCAGCTCTGCTCTGGAGCCAGGCTGAGAGAGCTGGGCTGGGGCAGCTGGAGAAGAGAAGGCTCCTGAAGGGGACACCTTAGAGCAGCTCCAGTGCCTAAAGGGGCTCCAGGA